GGCTCCGGGGTTACATGCACCGTGAAGTAGTGCGTTCCGGTGTTCTGGTCCGGGGTGGGGATGACGCCGTTGGCGGAGAATCCGCATGGGGTGAACAGGTAGGCGTCGATCCGAGACTCGGGGAACTTGGACTTAGGATAGACGTCCGAAAGACCACAAGACTCCGACACGACCGTTCCCAGAGCATGACCCTCGGTAGTCAGCTCAGGAGGCAAGACGCGGCTGCCGTTGGACGACACGTCATCCATATCGGAGTTGTTGCTAAAGACATCAACGTGGTCGTCATTGTCGGCCTCGAAGTTGCAGTAACGCTTCTCGGCAACCGCAGTAGCGTGGTCGAGGTAGAATTGCTTGGCGTTCTCTTCATCCAGGTCGGTCATCAACACCTCCAAGGTCTCATCCTGATCTTCGCGAGTCTGGTACGCTCCAGCTGCGGGCACTTGAAGCATCTTGGTCTCGGTCACCGGATCCTCCGACTCGACCCGAGGGCTGGTCGGGGGAGTGAGCAAGGTGTTCGGCTCAGTCAGGTAGAGGTACCAGTGCTCGCCGTTCATCTTGCCAATCATGTAGGCGCTGCCGTTGAGGAAAAGCTTGTCCATGGTGCGAACCTCGTCTCTCCAGCTGCGGTGGGGACCGCGCTGACGGTCAGGGAAGAGGAAGTTCTTGCGGCTATAGAACACGCGGTACGGGGCCGCAGCGACGGCGATGCCGCGGGAAGGCGCCGTGGCGCGAGGGAAGCCACCGAACAGAGCGGCAATCTCGAGGATGCGCGGAAGTCCCGACAGCAGGGTCGTCGTACCACAGGTCTTGAGGATCAGCTTGTGGGGCCAGACGAACATGCTGGACTCGGACAGGAGATAGGCGTCCACATCCTCAGACGAGACAATTGAGAGCACTTGGCAGTTGACGAGATCAAGCATGTCCTTCCAGATCTCTTCGGGCACAGCCTTCAGGCCGGTAGGACCGGCGGAACCCAGTTCCTGAGCGGACGGGGCAAACCAAACCTCCAGAAGCTTCTCGGGGCCTTCGCTCACGTCAGTATAATGCCAGCATGCGCTTCTACTATAAGAGTGACATACCTTCGAAGGCGTTGGTAGAATCGAGATCCTGGGTCGCCTCATGGTTGATCGTCAAGGACGGGGTGGCCATGAACGAGGACGGCGACGCCGTGTAGTGCTGGGGAATTCCAATGTAGACCATCTTGACCGATTGAAAATGTGGTGAAATTGATCGGTAGAGCGGATGGAGCAGCGATATAGCAGGTGCGCGCGACTGGATTTGTGGACCGTAGACAAAGAGCCTAGGAAGCACTATCTGCTGCCCAGACGAACAGGGGGGCTATGTCCGTCTGAGAGAGTAGGCCCTTAATCTTTTTTTAGGTAATTGGCACTCAGCCAAAGAGGGGTAGATTCGGTAGAAGCCTGAAGGGCTGCTAGGGAGGGCGGAACGAGAGGGAAAGGAGGAAAAAGCCTCTGGAAAAGGGAATGGTGACTATATCGTCGTAACCCTCGTGCTGGAAGATACCGATACCGGCGAAAGTATCGGGTCTAGCAGACGAGAGTATCTGCTTTTTTGAATGTGGGAGAGGAAAAAGTGAGGTTTGCGCGACTGGAGAAAAAAGGTGGGGTTCAGGCGTGTTATCGGGGCCTACTCGCGATCTGTTAGCCATGACAGAAACTTTTGACCCACCAGAGACCAAGTGGATGGAAGAGATTCAGAAGACGGAGACAACCTACTTGGCAGGCTTAGACAGGTACCGTAGTAGATCCTTCGGGTTCATGGAAGGCAGGACAGAAGACGAGCTTAAAACAGCACGATGTCGCGAAAAGCCACAGCACTGAACATCTGCGAGGCGACTTCCGACGGCAACGATAACGGGTAGGGCAAGTGTGCAGAGAGAAGCAGCAAAGCGATTTGGCTCTTTGATCACTCAATGAGTCAAAGACAACCAAAGCAATTAAACCTCTTCACCAGACAAGTGAGAGAAGGAGGAAATTAAATAAGATTTGGGAAAAGGGCACGCGGACGTGGGGGGGAGGGAAAAGAAAGAAGTAGTTATTGACGGGCGATGGTTGAGCGATTATTATTGCTGTCCGTGATCTGTGTGGGCCCGGAAAAAGTTCGTGGGGCGGGCAAAAAAAAGACAAGAGGCCAATCTGGGTTGGGCGCCAGCTGGGAATCAAGCGCAGAATCTGAGAGAATGGCGGGAAAAACGGTTCAGATTCGGGAAACCTCCAATCAATAGGATGAGGGGAAGATGCAGGAACATATAACTCACCTGGGCAATTATAAAATTTAGTCCAACCACACACGATCCCTGGAGAGGCAGGAGGGCGCGATGGATGAATAGTAGTAAGTAGATGATGAGAGAAGAAGGCCAGGAATAAAGAATGAGCCGGTCGCATTTTCCCAGCCATACCAGATCTAGACGAAATAATACGGAAAAAACCCGACATTTCATGCCCAACCAGGCAGGCGGTGGTACAAGGGTCACCAACATGAAGAAAGAGGGTGACGTCGTGTCTCCCCTCCCTTACAAGGAAACCGGTAACACAACTTTCTCCTTCTCTTATAGACATTCCCTACACTATGAATATACTAGTATACTTTATTGCAATCAGTAAGTATATCATGCAGAGGTACAATTCGCTAGCTAGCATTCAAGAATAGCCCCGATTCCCTCCTTCTAAACACCCTTTTCCCAAAACGCCGATTCTGTCCATGCCCAGCAACAAAGAATTAACTAACAAGAATGTAGAAAAGATTCACGCATGCCTCTTCACCCACCCCCTAAGATGTACATCCAAAGTAGATACAAATGATATGATGCTACTTGCTGTAGTGAGAGAGACATGGAGAATCAGGATGAGGACTCCACAATGGCATGAGCGAGGTCAACTTCCCCCGCGTCACTAATCTTTGCGGCCAGGAACTCGCCCACTTTCTGACTCAGCCGATCTCGAAGGCCATCCGTCACCATCGCGCCATGACCGTTGGCCAGTGCCATCCGGCCCTCCCGTAGCGTGTTCAGCACCCCCAGCAGCACGCTAAGCACCCGCTCTGCTTCCGGCCGGCGTGGACTCTCCTCCGCCATCCCATCCTTGAGCAGGTTGCCGTACGTCGGCAGATTAGGCATGATCAGCACCCGCACCGCCTCCGCACCGCCAACCGCATGTAGTCCGATCACCGCGCCATAGTGCGCCCCAAACGGCTTGGACGGGTCCAGGAACGTCTTCAGGCACGACCGGGCCAAGCGTGGCTTCAGTGTATGCGACGAATTGGAATATTTCTTGGCGATAAGGCCCAGAAGCGATGCCGCAAGGTCGCGCAGGGCAAATTGTTCCGTCAATTCAGCACTACCACCGAGTTGTCGGCCGATCAGGCAGGTCAGAATCGGTGGAACAAGTGAGGCGATCTATCAGGAGTCAGTAAAATGTAATCGGTGTTGTTCATGTGACAATCATGACTCACATAAGGGTCCACGTAGAGAGACTTGTTCTGTACCAGAGCCTCGGCCATGTGCATCACCTGCGTCAGGACGAAGACATCCTTCAGCCCATGTGTCACCTTCTCCGAAATGAACTGCACGAAATATGGCACCAGCTGGTGTAATCCAGGGTCTTCTCTAAGACTAGCATAACCCGACGTCCTGTATTCCTCACTGGACTCGTCCAGGAAGGCGTTGCAGACCTTCTCGAAGTATAGCTGCAGCTCCTTGGAAAGCACATGCTTCACCAAGGGCTTGACGGAGACATTCCCTCCCCCACTCATGGCCGCCAATGTAGAGCTTGCGTTGGGTCCCTTGGACATCAGTTCCATATTTCTCGAGTCGGCCGCCGTAGGATTCTGGGGGATGGACGGCTGTACACCTTCAACCGCCAACCAATGGGCTTAATGGAGTCAGCATGCCAACATGTCATTGTAGATATTTTCACATCGCAGCAGGGGGCAAGAATACCTGTGAAAGAGACCTCCCGAGGAACCCTAGGCAACGGCGCATTTATCAACTTCTCAAAGTCCACTTCCTCGTCCTCCACGTAGAACAGCGGTTGACCAGGCCCCAGTGATGCTTCTCCAAACCGCAAGGGCCTTGTGGACTCGTATCCGTAAAGTGGCTCCACGTCCAGTACGCGCAGGGCCTGCGCGACATCTTGTGTTGTGAGTAGCGTGCGTCGACTGTGGCGCATGAATTTGAGGGCTTCTTCGAGGACCTGCGCGATGCGGTACTCGACGTCGCGGGCAAGGTTCTCGGTGACATCATTACTGAGGTTCACGACACCGACCGACTCGGCGACATCGCGAATATTATCGGGGTTCCAAACGGACATGGTGGGTGCGGTGTTGAAGTGAAGGTGGAAGAACGGAGGCTGGAGGTTAAAGGGTGGTTAGGAGGGTGTAACGTCGTCGGCTCGTCAACGAAGGGTCCGGTTATTTCGTGCAATGTGAGGTGAGTAGGTGATCATCAAAATAATTATCCGGGAAGAGCCAAAATCATTCTGGAAGGCCCAGAGCAACAATGTTGAAATGAATGGCAGCAAATAAATGCGACGCGGGAACGGAGAGAGCTTCGGAGGCAGAAGGCGGAGAAAACCTGCCGCTGGGCATCCACACGTGCGTCTTCAACTATGTCCGTGTCGGACACTTGCAAATGGAAAACAACACTATCATGTGTACAAACATATCAACTTCATCTTGCGTGAAAGCAACCCTGTTATAGAATACGATATTACAATTTTATACATTGAGTCAACCATAAGCGTGACGAAATGGAAAGTGAACCTGAACCGTTTATACTACTACTTTGCTAGGTCAGGTATACAGTGCCCTATCCTACCACAGGAGGACGCAATGTAAAGTCACGAAATGGACCTAGTCTTTCAATTCTTGATGCCTTTCAACGTCTTGAGCAGTACTTTTACTTCCAGTATTGAGAACGAAGTACGCGAATGGTGACAATTTGATGACCGGTATTTGCTCGACTGTCTAGTCTTTGACCCCCTTCACCGATACGTGGACATCTTTCGCATTTCTTGCCACTCCGTGGTCACTCCACTCCATAGTTTCTTTGTCTGTCTGGTATAATTCAACCTGAGTCTTGTTGAAAATATTTGCAAGGCAAATATACAACTCAAGGTAAGCCAGGCTTAACATACGGCGGTCAGTTACTATATTCCATGGCTGGTGTTATAACTTACTTGATGCCAATGCATGAGCGTGTTCCCTTGGAAAATGCAACATTCCATTTATCCAGTATTTTTCCGCTTTCGCCAATCCATCTCTCAGGATTAAATTCGTCGGGCTTGGGGAAGATGTCTGGATCAAAGTGGATCATCCTTGTCGACATTGAGACTGCTGTCTGGATACAAGTGGGGATATCAGCTTGATCGGTTTTGGCTTATAGTGTAATGCTTTGGCTTACTCCTGGTGGTATTAACTGGCTATCAACTTCAATTCCACCTTTGGGAACAATGCGCGGAAGTCTGGAAGGAGCTGGAGAGGACAGCCTAAGTGACTCCTTGATCACGGCGGTCTATCCATAAATCATTAGCGAATGACCCAGGTTATAAACAGGTAACGCTATTATTTACCAGATACGGTAGGTTGCGTAGATATTGGTATTCGATAATCCCATCTGCGTTCACAGGCTGGCTCTCGAGCTCTTCTCTCAACTTCTTTGCAGAATTTGGGTGCGTTAGCAGGTAATAAGTTGCGCAGGATAGCGCGTAACTTGTAGAATCGGTCCCAGCAAAGCAAAAGAAATATGCTTCATTGACAAGCCCATCCATAGACCGTGATGGAGAGTCTTTTTCGGCTTGAAGAAGCGAACTGAAAACCGTCATTCGGGTATTACCTTCTTTTTGTTCACTTGTGGCAAGATTTGTAGAAATATCTCTCATCCACTCCAAACACCGCTGTTAGATTACGAGTTATTAGTGGAGCTAAGCTTCTCTTAACAATGACATTGATTGGAGCTTACTCACCTGTCTGAAGTCCATGTAGCCCGGCGCGACTATGTCCGTCAGTCTGGGAGGGAGGTTAAGGGCAATCCGGGCAAGGATAGGAAAGCTTCTGAACAGATGGAATCGATCCGCAAACATATCTATGCTGGAAAGGAACGGCGGGCAGGCTGTTCCCGACATCACCAGGTTCAAAGATCTTCCATACAGCAATACCATTATGGAATCGGCCTACGGAGGATACTATTACCTGACCTTCACATTCTTCAGCAGGTCATGGAGTATGAAGAACTAACCGTGACACAACGGTAGAGCTGTTGAATGTTTAGCGGGCACTGCGTCTCCGCTGCGATCTTTGCTTGATTGATAGCTTTGGTCACGATCATTTCAAGCTCGGGGGCCAGAAGATCGACATGTCTTTTTGCAAAGGGGGCTTTCACAATATCATAACGGAGCTTGTATTCGTGAGGATCGGTGAGAAAGGCAATGGAGTCATTGAAACCAATACTGCCAAAGAAGGTGGGATCCTTGTAAAAGTCCGTTCCATTTTTGAATACCCTTGGCTTGGTTAGCACAGTTTCACCTAATTGATTTGCTTGTCTACCTATTGAAAAAGTCCCTGTCGTTGATGTGAAGTTCATTGGGATGAATACGGACGACAGAGCCTGTGTAGTAGTGAGCATAAAGAGTAAGATAGAGTATGATGGTCATTTTCTTCAGCAGTGTCAGACCATATTTTGCATGTAGCGATGGAAATGATTTGGAGTACTGTCCACTCAGGATGACATCTTTATAAAATTCGTACCAACTGGTCGCAGCAGCAATCCGTGGTCCGGGGAATTTGCTGAGGGGATGGAAGTAAAGGCGAATAGTAAAAACGCTACAAGCATAGATAGAGACACCAATGAGTAGTATCAAGCTGATATTAGCGGGCAGGACTTGTTCAACTAGCAGATTCAAAGCAGCCATGACTGAATGCGCATGCGAGTATAAAGCAGTGTATTACTTGAATCATAGATTTTGAGAATCTGAAAGAGCAGTCTTAAGTTACCCTCGGAAAGGTTCCTCTCTTAGGAGTATCTCCGCAGTCGCACGGGATATAAACCCAAACGTTTTCCATTGTCTATCATTCTCCCTTTAGGGATACTCACACCGTTGTGTACTACAGTCATCATGCACGAGCACCCTTCTAGATGGCCCCTGAAGAGCGCATTGCCCCTACATTCCAATGCATGCCTTCAAATATGAGTAGCTTGAGCGTCCTGCATAACAGTTGGGTTTGTACAACAGTGCTCATCGGTTTGTAAGAACTACCCTGTAGGGTTGCAGAGTGTAATTAGTAATTTCATGTACCGGGTTTTGGCGTTTGTAAGCCATTAAATACGCTAGTTTCTTTATGGAAATACTAATCCATCAAGCTTCAGTAGATATCTCTAATGGATTTCAATCAATTAGAGCTTACTACTGATATCCACTCGTGATGTTTTGAAATTGTAACGACTATTTGGAGTGATAATACTAGTGATAATACTGTAATGGCTTCCAGGAATTGAAATTTCAACATCCGGCCTACTATCTAGGGGCATGGGAAACGCGGGCGACAGGGCCACAGATGTAAGGGCTAACTTAGGCTGGGTAATCTTCACCGTCAACCTGCAGATACTATCTGCAAGTTTCTAGGCTTTGGAACCAAAGAGACAAACCCTAGTGCAGGCAAAGAGCAAAACAGTCCATATTCGGTAGCATCAGACATTCTTTACATCCCCTCGTATGAATTAGGCTCACATCAAGGAGTACCCTGCATCAACAGGAATAATGACACCCGTGACATATGAAGAACTATCGGATGCGAGCCACATTACACTTTCCGCAACCTCTTCCGGCCGTGCACAGCGTCCCAATAGGGAGCTTTGCTTTGCAAGTACGTCCTCACTGGCCCCAATCTTCGTCAGGGCGTCGGTACGCATTTCAGTTTTGGTCATGCCGGGGGCGACCGCATTCACCCTAATCTGGTTGTGGCCGTTTTCTTTCGCTGCAGTGGTGGTCAAAGCGGCCACACCGTGCTTGGAAGCACAGTATGCAGGCATAGTAGGCCTCGTCTTCAGAGCACCACTGGAGGAGATGTTGATAATGGAGCCGCCGCGACCTTGTGTGATCATCTCTTGCAGTTCCCACTTCAGGCAGTAGGCGACGCTGGAGAGGTTGGTATCGATTACTCTACCCCATTCGGCCTCATCCAGCTCTGAAATGGACATGGAATTACCGTTCACCCCTGCGTTATTCACTGCAATGTCAAGGTTGCCGAATATTGTGATTGTTTCCTCAACTGCCTTTCTGATGCTGCTGGAGCTGGTGACATCTATCTCGATGAAGCGTGCTTCATAACCTTGGCTAACAAGTTCCTACTCAACTTGCCTACCAATGGCCTCGTCAATTTCGGCAATAGCGACTTTCACGCCGGCTCTAGCGAGTGCAGATGAAATGGCTTTGCCGATTCCCCTCCCACCTCCTGTCACCATGGCAGTTTTTCCATGTAGATCAGGGTGGATAGCCATTGTCGGGTCAATCAATAGCCAATTGCTATGGGTTACGAAGTGGGCTTTTGTGGTAGGACGAATTCAGAGATGCTAGAAAAGAGTCTTCTTGTCGAAGATAACATTTATGTCAATCTGATGCCTTCTTAAAGCCAGCAAAGAGTCATTGGGTCATTTGTATAAATTTCTCTCAATGCAGCTCGGTGCATGAAATGCATGCATTATCACGCGTCCATTCTTCTTGGGAACAGCGAGAATGCAGAAGCCTGATCCGTATTGCTGCATTAACTCAAAATGACGAAGCGGGCTGGTGACCTACCTAGTCCTGATTTCACTCAGCGTATTATGGGAAGATGAGTGTATAGCCCCATTCTTGGAAATCGCAGCAGCAAAGGTACTGTAAGATAGCCACGGCGTAAAGTCTGCGCAGTGCTAGTAGTAGACGAATTAGCTTGGCTGGGGTTTGCAGTGAGACTGACTGGAATTCATAGCCCTTGAATGAAAATTCAAAGAGCCCTCCACCAGACTGTGATGTAACTGGCTTCCGAGACCTCTATCGAGTCCCCACATTATATTGAAAGGGGTATGATACCATCCAAGTTTTCGAGACTGCAGTCCTTGCTACTCGAATAAGACTCGTACATATTCAACGGGATGTAGGTTTGCACCTATGGAACAAAGTGCGACGCGGTTGCACCTGTCCCAGTCCGTTGATTGGTAAAGCTTCCCATTTTAACTCAATTGCCATTGGGAAGTAGCACTGCCGGTCTTGTAGGATGTGTGTCACTAGCTCCATGGCAGCAGGGCAGGTATACAACATTCCTGTTTGATATCAGTAAATGCGCCAATACCCTGTAGATCCTTGCAAAGAATCACAAGCAAACTTCGACTAACTTTGATCCCCTGCTGATAATCACAGCATTTGAAAGGCAGTTATCAAATGTACTACCCAGTAGTGAGGGAGAGAGAGGGGTCAAATGATTTAACGGTGACGCCACACCCTTTGGGATAATGCTGAGGAGGCGTTATGGTAGCTATTTGACAGGCATCCATCCACATTTAGTATCTGTTTCACATAGGGGCCACGACAGACTTGGATATTAAAAAAGCCCACCCTAAGAGTATTAGGCCAAATCCTGCTTGTCCACCTTGACCTATCATTTTCTATCCCTGAAACTCACTCATCAAAGCCGTGAAGATGGGATGGGACGCTGGCAATGTTGTCGAGGTGAAATTACCTCCACTATTTGTCAACTTCGCTGCGCGAAAGGCTCCAATAAACCAACATTACCAAGCCGTGAGAGAAGAGTCAGAGCAGTGGCTCATCAAGTATAGTTGTCCATTGTTCTCATTCTAGCATCATTAGCTAAAACTTTCAAGGACCTGCAAGTTTGATACGAATATGGCAAGTTTCGTTCACAAAACCGACTTTGGATATTTCGTGGCTATCGTGGCTCCTGATGCAGAGGAGGATGAGTTGCGAACAATGTCCGACTGGGGGAACTGGGTGCGTATACCTTGCTTTCTACCAATTGTTCATGCTGAATTTGCTCAAGGTCTTTCCTTTTGATGATGGTAGTGTTACCCTGACTTTACGGCACTTGCGTTTAGTCGTGCTCACATATCGATATGAAAGCTTTCGATAATGGAGAGTTGAAAGTGGATCTGGACGGCGTGCGAAGGATGATGGATGAGCTTTTGACTGTCATGAAAAACGAGACAACCTTTAGACCAGCGGACCCCCTTGTTGTTGCTTTTAAGTCCATCTGGGACAGACTATCTGAAGTGAGTGCCTCTTCCATGAGTATGTAATCCTCGCTAATAATCCAGTCGAACTGTTCTGCCGGTAATCACATCGTCAACCTATGGTTGATCTAGATGCATAACTGATCATTAGTATGATGCCAGGAACCCTTCGACGGTTTGCTAGATCAATGCAAGACTACTCTGAAGCATGTATTCAGCAAGTTATTATGCAGTCTAATTTCCAGGGCAGCGAAACACTGTCAGTCGACGAGTTTATTGCAATGAGACGTGGGAGTATTGCAACAACGCCCCTATTTGCGCTGTTTGAGTAGGTTGCTTTCCTACTTAGTTAGGATCAAGCGTGCTAACTATCAAGATACGCCTATGGGTTGAACATACCAGATGAAGTCTTCGAGTGTTCATCAATCAAAGAGCTGGAGAGAGTTAGCACTGAAGTGACGGTCATGTAAGAACCTTGTCCGTTGTAGAAACCAGTTACTAACTCGACAGCCAAAATGACATCGTTTCCTATCGGAAGGAGCAGGTATGTGCATATGTATGGCCCTGCAGCGGAAGGCGCAGAGTTCCTAACCCTCCGTCACCAGCTCCTCGATGAGAATAGCAATTTGATCAAGATATATCTCCGGGACGGCTTCTCAGTTCAGGCGGCTTTTGACGAAGCTGGAAAGTTACTGGCTACCTGCTACCGTGACTGGTATTTAACACTGGCCGACTTACCCAGTTGGGGCGAAGATGTCGACGCCCAGGTTCAGACGTATATTGAGGGGCTCCAAAATGTTGTTCTGGCTAATATTCACTGGAGGTAAGATCTTCTCTCAACTTCGCTATATTATCTAATGGTGGTGTAGTTTCCGAGCTGAACGGTATTGGAAATCGAATGCGGAGATACAGAAGGATAGGACGATTGAAGTGCGACTGACATGAGGATGTCTTGGCTGTGGTGAAAATGACTTAGATTGTGTTTGATTCAGGATTTAGATTGCTTGACTTACTTCCCATGGCAATAGGCAGGCTGGCAGGCTGCCAGACTGCCATGCAGTGCTCTCTATCAGTATTCGCATTGCTGATGCTTGCCTAAATTTACCCTGGAGCCTTGTGATTTTATAAAATTATCAAGAATGACTCTTGTCACAGACTAGCCATTTTGCCTGTTTGTCTAGATGCGATAGGTTTTGAAAGTGTGTGAAAACATGGGAGATTATCCCAGAAGAAATCTAGCTATCTCTGTGCCTGAAATCACAGGCCACCGGCCCGTGGCCAGTCAACATCACTATGTAATTTGGATACTTCCTGCCAATCTCTTGAAATTTCATGTATTACAGAAAGAACTCAGTTTACTTGTTGTAGGACGATGAGGCACATTCTATGTCAAATCAGTTACTCTCACGCTCGTGACCCATCTAGACTATTTTCTTCCCTCTTATCCGGATCATCCCCTTCCTACTCTTACAGGTCATCCTCTCCTAGCCCATCTGGATCCTCGAAACAATGACGGAGTCACATTTGGATGACATGGAAGCAGAGGTGTTCGAACTACCAACAAACATCACTACAATTCCTCAAACACCAGTTCAGAGCTACATTCAGGAGACGCTAGCAGCAATTCTGGATGAAATGTCCTCCCCTGAGGGCCAACCTTCCATTACCCTCAAACAGAGAGGGAAAAAGTTCGCCTCATTATTCATCAACCCACAAACACAGGCCCTGGAGACCTCGGAGATGCAGACATACACCACCTACAGATGGCCCGGCAGAGATGGGAACGAAGCCTGGAGATTCAGTACGATCTATGGTCACCGTTCATAGCCCCCTCTAATGAAGACATAGCCGTGGCTTTACGAGTCCTCGCAGCCATTGCAGAGGCAGTTCAGGAGGGGTTGGTTATTTCCAAGAGGTAAACAGCACATATCACCAGTATACTATACCCCGAATTCATTTAGTACTAACTCTTAGAATAGAGACATATATTACAGCGATCCGGCCTGTTTTGGTACTCAGAGAACCGTCGATGCCCTCGTTGATGACTTGGCGCACACAATGGGGGTGGATCGTACTGCTTTATATGTGGTTTGTAAAACTCAACAGTACCCACTTCTAGGATACTAAGCATGCCAATCACAGGAAGCAGCAGCAAAAGGACTCGTTGTGGGCTACTATCAGATAATTACTAGAAGCGGCGCAGTGGTGGATGTGCGATTATCAAACCAGGTCTGTTGCAGTCATCATTACTGCACACAGCGTGAGATGACCTTTTCCAGGATACTCTAGTACCTAGAACGCAAGACATCCACAAAATCGATCTCGCAGATGTTGCGTGGGTATTGGTTTTAGAAAAGGAGGTTCTTGCTGCCGTCAAACCCTTCTATGTCAAAATGGAGTGAACTGACACCCTCAGGCCGTATATCGTCGACTCGCAAGCAGCAACTACCACATCAGATCTGCAGCAGGAAAGGGCATCCTCGTCACCGTACGTCCTTGTTCCCTCATCACATTCCAAGAGAAATACCAACAATCATAGGGAAAAGGGTATCCCGACCTCAACACTCGGGCATTCGTCCGAAAGCTCTTCGACCACAGCCGCCAACTCACCAAACGACCGCAGTTCTACGCCTTAGTAGACGGCGACCCAGACGGAATGGCCATCATGGCCACATACAAGTACGGTTCTGTGGCTTTTGCCCACGAAAACCGGAACTTGAATGTCCCAGGTCTCCACTGGCTGGGGCTGAGAGTAACGGATGTGGTTGCAGGAGCTGATCCGCTAGGCGATAATATGCTAATCCGTCTCACAAAGAGAGATAGGAAGAAGGTCGTCGCTATGCTGTCCAGGAATCCTATCTGGGCGGCCAATGGCCCGGAGCCGGAATGGCGAGTCGAGCTGCAGCAGATGCTCATGCTGAATGTCAAGGCAGAGACGGAGATTTTATATGACATGGAGGGAGGGTTGACCCGATGGTTGGATCGGAAGCTGTGTAGTAGGTAGGGAAATCATACTATCCATGACTTATGCCAGTATAACGACGTAATAACAATATATACTAAACAAAGCATCTATGCATTCCCGACCATGCATCTACCCCAGGAAAGATATATAAGAATAAAACAATGAAAGAGAGTGAACATACCACAACGCCAACCCAAGCAACCAATGTATCCATCCATCCATCCAATCATCCAGCTTCCAAGCTATGCCACAATTCCTCCACGACACACAAGAGTATAGACAAGACAGCAAGCAACCAGCCCACCAACCAGGTACTTATATACGAGCGGAACCCCTACCCTACCCATCACCACTCAACACATATTAACCCAGGGGTGGGGTATTCACAACCCCAATCCCTTCCTAACCTCATCCCTCACCTTCCGCTCATACTCCCCCCTCCGCTCTCTCCACATCTTCGCGGCCTCAACATTCGCCGGAGACTCATCATTCGGCTCCGCCAACATACTCATAACGGAGATGAGAATCTTCTCCACGCTCTGAATAGGCGACCACCGCTCCGAAGCGTGTTCGTAATGGTTGGGGTCGTCACCGGGGGGGTGGAGGATGGAGATGCACACGGTTCCGTTGGGGTAGACTATACACATTCATCCAAAACAACGTTAGCATACCACATTGACCAAGCGTCACCAGAACAGTCTAGAAGACACAACAAAAAACACACAGAGAGAAAGAGGGAGAAGATCATATACCATTAGGATGCCAAACCCCACCACCCACAAACTTCATCGTCGGCGGACTAAGCGGATAATCCTTCGGAAACTTCAACTCGGCCGCAAACACGCCGCCCTCAAAGGGCGTCCCTTCGGGTCCCTGGATCAGTGCTTCCCAGTGGAACATGTCATCTTCGGTGACGGGACCGGCGGTGATGCCCTCGGGGGGGTTCGTGGAGAGGTTTTTGTATTCGTGGAAGAGACGTTTCTGGGCGACGGAGGACATTTTGATCACTGCCTTCTTTCTTCTTTTCTCTTTGGAAAATATTGAATTATGAGAAATTGATTTGATTTCTCCGGCGTGGGAGGGGAAAGCTGGTGCTGGTTGGGGTTTCTGTGCTGGTGGCGTGGCGGTCTGGCTGTGTCTAATCTGGCGATTAGATAAAGAGGGGAGGGAGGAGAGTGCGGAGATCGGACCGGAGAGGGGAGGGTGAAAGGACACCGGGGGAGATGGTTATGTACCTGGGGTGGCGTTGAGGAGATAAGTTGGGATTAAGAAAACTTTTTTTTTAGAGAGGCTGGATTACTACTACTGGGGAAAGGTGAGTGAGTGGCCTGGAATTGAATTGGAGGAGAAATCAAGGTTTGCCACTTTTGAAAGCCAATGAATCGATGGAGTGATTGAGGTTCCATTGATTGATTGATTGTTGAGCCGGTGGGATGTGGGTGCCTGAGGCTGCAATGTTGCTTATCGCCGCATTCGTCTGGATGGATAAGGTATTGATGGACTATTATTCTGTATAGGATTGTTCGTTTTCGCGTGATATTATACATTTTATTGGAGATTTCACTGCCGGTATGGTACAATGGGCTGGTGTTGTCAGTAAGCTGCAAAACCCTTTATGCATTTCAAGCAGGGCCGAGAGTAAATGACATCAATGTCTACTCCGTACTCGGGACGATCATGTCGAGTATGCTATATGTCAGAGCCGTCACGGTGATTCTCGTTACACCAAACTCATGAGTTCTGTTGTAGTACCCTCGCACGAGTAAGGGGAACCGTCTCACGGTGTCAGCCGGCATCCTGATCTAACTGTTTGTTGTATGGTCGATCGGCCGCTTAGAACCAATCGAAATCATCGCCTCCCTCGCCCTCGTCGCCTTCATCTGCCCAAGGGTCCTCTTCTTGACCCCATGTGTTCTCAGGCTCCTTTCCCCACGGACTCTCGGGCTCCTCCCCCCAAACATCCCCATACGGACCCGTTTGACCTGGCGCCGGTGGTTGTTGGTCTACAGGTGCTGCTTGCTGATCGGGAGCAGGCTGGCTGCCTCCCATCCCACGAGACATGGCGTCGTAGCCAGCCATTGCGCCCGCGCCTGCTGCTCCAGCTGCTGCACCATCAGCCATTCCACCAGCTGCCCCGGCGCGACCAAGAGTTCCCGCGGCCGCTTCCCCAACGGCACCTGCTTCACCGGCTGCTGCGCCCCCGGCGGCAGCACCCCCAGCAGCTGCCTCACCACCGAACCCGGGGATCCAGAGGGGCATGAAACCAAATCCGCCCGAGTTGCTATGGCGACTAAAGTAGTCAAAGTCAATGCTCACAGCGGTTGCCAGCATCACGGCACGCTGGTCGAAAGTCATCCCAGTAGTCGCGCTGTTCTTGTCGAGGAACTCTTCGCTAGGGGAAGCAGAGTCCATCCTGAGTGCATAGACACCCGTATCTGTGAAGATTTCCCTGGCAAAGCCGGCAAAGTCGCGATTCACGGAGCCGATCAGCTGTTTATCAGAGGAACGTAGGCCAAAATCCCACGACAAGAAGGGCTCGTCCACATAGGCAAATTGGTGGTATTCGCCTGTTTCCTGGCCACTTTGAGATGATTTAACCAACTGCATTTGCTGTGTGTTGGACATATTCATCTGGTTAAGTGGTAGCTTCTGTATTTCCATCTCTGTCGCTGGATTGGGCGAGTGGTGATATGTGAAGAGGTTGTATTTGCGTCGTAGTGGGGCCCATTGCTGCTGGGCCTCTCCGATAACCCGCATTTCATCCAAGCCCAAGGATGAAACCCGAGCATTTGAGTCCCCTGTAGGGTGAACCAGAGATCCGGCGGAGGTTGTCTGTAATGTGGTGGACGTTGAATAGGTACCCTTTGCTAGGTCGAGAGGATCATATACGCGGATTCGGGAGTTGATCCATGAGAACGGACGGTGGAACTACACAGTCAGCATAATCCACATGCAATCGGCAGATCACCACCTACCCGAAGCACTTCATTCTCATGCCTATCAAACACATGTGTCACGAAACTGCGATGCGTCCGGAACGATTGTCGCGCCATCATGTTCACCATGCCTTTCTCTTGCTCCGCCATGTAGCCAATATGATTGCCGTTGGCATCCATGATGACGTACTTGTTGGCTTGTTCAAAACCAACCATTACATTCATGAGCTCCAACTGCCGCTGCACCACAAGACCTGAGTTGGCGAGGATTCCCGTCGCCGGGTGCGTCTCTTTTATCACGCCATGAGGGTCTTCGGGAATGTGGACTGGAGAGAGGAGGGTGTTCTGGGAGGGGTCATATTGTGAGGCGGGGGTTTGGGGGTTTTTGGAGGTTGTCTCTGGATTGCTAGGCTCAGGTGCTCGCGATGCCGGGACTTCTCTTCTGATGGGCTCTGGCCTGCGTATGGAGTTTCGGGGGCCTCGGGGGTTGGGTCGTCCGCGAAGTGAGCTGGAGAGAGCTCGACCGGGAGCTCGAAGGCACTGCGCCGGTGGTGTTCGGAGCGCGCTCCACATTCCAGTGATTGACGCCAGTCAGTATTAATGTAAGATGTGAGATTAGGCGAATATACGTGAGGTAACTGTAACACCGAGAACTATAGTTGAGTTAACTGACATGGAAGAGAAAGAGTGGAAGATTCCCGCGATGACGAAGGTGCGGGAGCGGAGTTAACGGCGATAAGACGCTGATCATCCATCCGCCCTCGTTTTGCCTTCATCCACCCCGCGAACAGATTGCGAGATAACTCAGGAAATTCTCCAGTACTTTCTATCCCGTGTGGAAAATGCTTCCATGTGGCGTATAAGGAGCTTCAAACTATCACAGATGGCCGAACGGCTCGGCCGCATGAGGTCGGGGTAATGACTTGTTCTAATACCTTGTCTTCATACTTATTAAATATATATAGTACAACTTAAACAACTAGTGATCGCTTCTGAGGCGCTTTCGCAGATAATGACAAAATAACTACGATCAGGATATTAAGTACATTCCACACCCAACAGACGGTATATAGTCAACGGAAGAAGCGTTCATTTTACTCTATCATATGCACCTGATCCAGTCTTTCTAAGTTCTGTCTACATGGACGTAACCTACTTTACAGCCGGAGCGCTGATTGCGATTCAGCTGCTTTGGACAGTCAGTACTGATGAAATTGACATTGGAATGCACATTATTTACTGTAACCACGCAAAGAAGTAAGCGCAGATGCCCAGAACGTGTGAATCAGGTACGGTTTGGTGCCTCTGATCAACAACCCAATCGCAAGGCGATGACCCGGAATTCGAGCTGCTGGCCATTCATAGCACAAAAGCAGCCGTCTTTGCGATATCCGAGAGCGCTTTGACACAAACAATGCAATAATTCTGCAAGAGCCATTTAACCGCGACGCAGTTCAACGCGCAGGTCTCAATAGTAACCCTAAGCAGCAGGATACCCAAGACATATCCAGAGCCGATAAGCACCAACACAGACACCAGTAGTTCCAAATCCAGCCGAAAAAGTTACACCACCTCTTGCGACAACTCAATCACAAAAGACCCTTGCGCGCCAACTCAATCTTCCGCGCCGCCTCACCCGCCTTGTAACCTCCCTTCGACACACAAACGGCACTTCCTTCGCCAAGCTCAACCTTCTCTTCGACATCGGGATGCGGACACGGGCAATGGTGTGGGAAATGGACGCATGCGAGGGTACCAGGACAGAGGTATTTATCACAATGGGCTGTGCCGATTAGCTTCACACGCATACCCCAATAGAAGAATCCACCACTTACCTGAATCCCACTGACTCTGATACCGCGAGCTATCACTCGGAACATTCTGCGCCGCCTGCTGACGACCCTGGTGACCACCACCACCGCCGCCGCCACCTCCAAACATATGCTCAAAGAACTGGAACTGCGCGTGGGCCACAGAGGCAAGTAGAAGAAGGGCTCCGAGGAGCCGAATCCAAGAAAACATAGCGAAGTTAGACTCTACAAATAACCGAGCAATATGCCGAAAACCAAAAAAAAGCGAAGCAAAAGTAAATTGCAGAGCAAAGCATAGCAAAGGAACTAAGTATATAGTTGTAGATAGATAAGTTACCGGCCATCTGGCCGCATCCGGCACGTGACCTCACCCGCCAAGTCCCATCTCCGATCCGCGAAAAAAAGCAGGCCCCGGGAAATAGAGCGAGCCATCTCTCCCCAGTTCAATCCCCATTGAACATCACCACATCCCAAATCAACACAATGTTTCAACCTCGTCTTCTAGCGCCCCTCCGGGCTCTAGAAAGGGGACTTGCCAGAGCCCCCACGGCTGCCTTCCGCAACAACAACAACAACAGCACCTCCTCGCTCCTCTGCAACACCTCCATCCTCTCCGCAACCAGCAACAGCAGCATATTAACACAATCCAAGCTCACCCCGCTAGCGTCCCCAACATTACACCAATTCCTCCAAGTCCGACACGCCTCCCACGCCTCCCAAGGAACCGCGAACCGTCACTCCCGCGATCCGGCCGGAAAGCGTCTCGGCGCGAAACGCACAGCCGGTGAATACGTCGTCCCCGGATGCATCATCTTCCGGCAACGAGGCACGAAATGGTTCCCTGGTGAGAACTGCGCCATGGGCCGCGATCATACCATCTACGCTGCTGAGGCCGGGTATGTGCGGTACTACCTGGACCCCGAGCGTCATCCGGATCGGAAGTACATTGGAGTTGTGTTTGAGAAGGATGGGAAGTTGCCGACGCCGAAGAACGCGCCGACTAGGAGGAAGTTGAACCGTGTGGCGGTTCGGTTTGAGCCTGAGGAGGAGGTGGCTGCCAAGCAGGGCGATTTGGTGGCTAAAATTGGAGAGGACGGGACGCAGGTTGGCAGTGCTACGAAGGTTGAGGCTGCTCAGGCTGCCGTTCAGTTGCGTCCTGGTTATATGTACCGTGAGGCCAACTGGAGTATTGGTCGTGCTGCGGAGAAGGCTGGCATTACGGCTAAGCCGTATAACCGCAAGAACCGCTGGTTGGCGTGGAGGAAGAGGACTGCTAAGGCTGATCGGTTGGCACAGATGAAGAGTCTGAAGAATAAGAAGAAGAAGAAGGGTGGAAAATAGATGATTTGATGGAGGGATCATGTCAGTGAGAGCTTGACTGCGTGTGTGTGATATATTAGTTTTGGTTCTAGGGTTTCTTTTTGTGTCTGTCTACCTATATGTATGTATGTATTATAAGACGTTTGAATGGGCTGCAATTACTATTTCCTTTCTCTTTATTAAGAAAGAAGAACTGATGCTTTAATAGAGTAGCAGACTCCAGGGTATATTGCTATCAGTATCAGTCTCGCGAACACACTGATTGATCAAAGCAGCAAACATAAAAAGAACAAGCAGATACTCCAGACCCCACACATTCATCGTAGATGATCGTCGAAGATATTAACCCCACTAGATCCATTCATTACTGGTCAAACAACCTCCCCAAGATCAAGCTTTGACAGACAAACTCATTGCCGACAATCTTGACATTACTGTTCACTCCCAGCTCATTGCCGTCAAAAGATTCCATCAGCTTCGACCGCTTACGCTTCCTCGAACCGGCGGTCGACAATGAACTTCCCAGTGCCATGGCCTTGGCGGAGGAAGCTCGATCATCGTCATCGACATAGATCCAGTTCCAGCTAAGGCCGTCGGCTCCATCCGTTTGCGTTGCACTCAGGATCGCGCGAGCAGACTTGAGATCATGCACGCGCTCGATGCGGGAAGCACCCAACGCATACGTCAAGAAGAGATACGCCTTGCGTTTCTCCTCGTCTGCTCGACCACTGCGTCCCGTAACAAGAAGCACGGATTGTCCGTTGAGAAGATTGGGCCGGCCAGCGATGGTCTCAGACAGTCGAGCCTCTGTGGCAGGGTACGGGGCTAGGAATCTGGACTTGGTTGCACCGTTGAGATAGGTGGATTCCCCGGCTGGGAGGAGGTATATTTCCCAATCGAGGATTTGTCTTCGGGCAACGCAGTCCTCGATCCAGCGGTCAGAGAGGCAAGGGAGATTGAGTGCAAGGGCTTGCATGTACTTTGACCGACGAGAATGTTTATCGGCTATCAGACAGGCAAATCCCACGTCTGCGGCACCGCTAGTCAGCCGCAGATGGCCGTCTTGGGTACTAGGGAGTGGAGCAGAAGACTTGGTAGGTGTAGCAACTGGTGCACTGAGAGGGAGTTCGAACAACTCATTAAACCCGTCCTCTAGAATCCGGCCGTCGTTCTCCAGAATCATCCTGGTAATTCGTGATTTGGCCTCGTTGTTGTCTCCGTATGACACCGCAAATACCATACCGGCAAATAGACCAGTGGAAAAGCGGAAGCTGCGCGAGAGTCGAGCGCCAGGGGACATGGGCGTGGAGTGTCTGTCACCTGGCGTTTGGGGTCCACTTTCGGAAACAGCAGGCCCGGAGTCGTAGCTGAATGCCCGGTCTTTCAACTGATTCCAAAGGATAGTATCTAGGTAGATTCGGGAAATAGGAACAGTAATCCTGTTCTCTGTAACTGCTAGTCCTGAGCCGGGGAGACTTTTGCGCTGCTTCGGTGTCAAGATAACGGAGGAATATCCATATACATCAGTCATAGGAATCAGCCCGTTCGCAGCTCCCTGTTCAATATCACTCAAAGCGAGCTTGTCGGCGAACCCAGAGATGATATGTGTCACCTTGGGAACGTCGCGCATGTCCACCTTGACACCATCACCAATACGCAGCTCAAGCCGTTTCACCGCGCCAGTGGGAATCTCAAGCGGTGCGCTATCTTCGAATTTGACCAGATACCGCGACTGCGATGTGCCAAAGGGCTTGCCAAAGCACGTTGCAGGATAATACGCGCGCTTTGGTCCGCTCCATGGGGCAAGGACTTGGTTGACGGCGATAGGTACGTTCTCATGGCTAACTGAAGGCTGAGCTGGTTGTTGAACTCGAGGCGGTGTTTCCACAATTGGATCCTTTTCAGATGCTTTTTCTGTTTGTTGGGGTGCGACTGGTTCACTGGATGGCTCCGGCATTGAACTGGCCACCTGATCCTCGTGAATGGCAGGCAGTTCTACTTGAACGGGAGCATGCTCTTCAACCTCAGCAGGCACCTGCTTTACCGGAAGTGAGCGACCTAGAAGCCGAGACCTCTCTTTACGAGAGACGTGATGCTGAGTAGAATCATCCATATCCCATATGCTCTCCGCTCGTCTTGAGGGTCTTGACCGTCTCCGATAGGTTGGCATTGGCTTGGTGGCCGGCTCAGCCTGCTTCTCTGGCTCCATCTCAGTGATAGGTGGCATTTCCTTCTCTGGAGAAGGCACGACATGAGTAGGCGCGCGAGGTGTAACAGGGAACACTGGGTCGGAAGCGTAAACACTCTGCCCACCGTTACCGCGGCGCTTCTTCCTTGGCTGAATAGGAGACATTGCAACCGCAGACCGGAACTCCCGGTCGTCAGCGGACAAGATATTAATGTCAAGGTTGAAAGAGCCAGCCCCAATCTGTGGTGAAGCATCGGCTGCGATTTCCGTCAGTGCCCTGCGCTGTCTGCCGCTTGGGCTGGACAGAATTTTTGAGTTATGGAACGAGGAAGGTTTCAGAGGCGACGAGCTATCTGCAACCATCGGTTGAGAACGAGACCCTTGTTCATGCGCATCCATGTACACCGGCGGCAAGTCGTCATCTTCTTGATCGGCTACATCGGTTGTATTGTGATCGTTTGGCCACCTTTGGTGACCAAGGCGGCTGGGACTGGTTTCGGGAATGCTTGTCATTGGTATGATTTCTGCAAAAGCCCTAGGAGCAACAGGAGTCTCGGCGACGCGCGAGGGCATAGATGAGGACTTGTCGGGTCGATCCAACGTAGATGGTTCGTTGCCTGTATCCGCGCCCCCCTGCACAGATGAATTGCTTGACTCCATGTTATGCTCTTGAGCCAACGAGGGCCGTGGAGTCTGGGAGCGAGATGGACTGCCTAGCTCTGATCCAGGCCTGCTCACCGAGTGAGCGCAGCCTAACTCGAGCGACCGTCGGCTGGTCTGGGACGCTGAAGGGGGAGAAGAACGTATACGAACTTGCTTTATGGGCGATGGAGTTGCTCTGTCTACATCAGACAAAGGGCCCATATGAGCCTGAGAGCCTGACTGATGTATGCGCTGCGCAGTCCATTGCTCCTCTGTGTCATCTTTACCAGGATCCCCCCGACCAGCGGAGCGCTGAGAGTCCTTAATGACCGAGACCTGTGAGGAGTAGCCTTCATGCAACTGCTCATCCTGTACAAAGCTGCCAGAACGCGAAAGCGACCTTTCTCGCCCGTTTACCGCTTCTCCATTGGTTGGACACGGACTTTCATGCAAGGCAAGAGCTTGCGATAGGCGGTCATGCGCGCTCGCAGCAGCAGCACTGGTTGTGGAAAGGTCGTGGCAATTCTCTTTATCCTCCTCGGCTGAACCATCGAGATCGTAAGGCCGTGGCGTGGGCTGTTCCAAGTCATCCTCTTGCTCTTGTTCCGTTTCTTCTTCGCTGAGCGCCCCATGCTGCAGCCCGGTAGACCCCTGCTCTCTCACTTCCTCGACTTCTCCAGAAGACCCATCAGTCAGATCTGGGCCTTCAGGCACTTCAGATACGGGATTTAGGGTCATGTCCGCTTGATTACCACGCCGACTGGATGGCCTCGCAGGGGCTGTAAGCTCCACAAGCTGAGCATCAGCCTCGTGGTCAAACATCTTCCGGCGCCTCATTCGCTCAACAAAACTAGGCTCCTTATCAAATTCCCCGTCGCTTTGGTCCGAGTACACATGGTTTGCAGAACGTGTCATTCTTTCATGCAATGCCTTATCCCGGTTGGCTTGAGATTCCTGCATGCTGATGTAGTTCCATCTGTGGGCGGACGTGTCCCGTGGAAAAGTTGCGGCGAGATTATTGTAAGGTGAGGAGAGCGTTGTAATAACCGGGTGGCTCTGAATGGGAATATTCGGAGACGGTCGATCTGACATAGGGTCGGATTGTTGGCCGTTCACTAGAGGTGATGATGGAGCCTGAGTTGCCCTAAATACCTGGCTTAGTGCCAATATCCCACCACTTGACCCGATATCGGCCGCAAGGGGATTCCGCGAAGCTGTGGGAGACACAGTGGCAAGGCCCTCAGAGTGGGCACGCTTCACTGCTGTCATGGGAGTCTTTGTCAGAAACCGCTGCGACTCGGGAAAGAGATTCGGCTGATGCAGCATGGGCGAAGATTCTCCCAGCTTCGAGCTACTCTGATCCTCAAGGTCCTCGTTGACAGCATCAGTATGAAGAGGATCATAGCCAGATAGCAAATCAAGATGTCCGCTATCGCCTTCATGAAGGGTCATAAGCGTTGCCTGATCACCCAAATTGCTCTCCTGAGCGTTGTCCGCAGCCTCCTGGTTCTTCCTGATGATTTCATCGTAAACTGACTGAGAGACGACCTGCGTGTCCGAAGGAACGGCATCGACCGAAGGCATTTTCGTAGACGGAGGCACTAGGGTCGTAGAAGGGGTTGTAGAGTTGGGTTTGGATGCTGGATTCGTGTTCATCGAAGTTGTGGCATTATGTGATCGCGAGGATGACCGTGAAGGCGACAACGGCGTCGGGGATTTTCGAGCTTTCTCTTGAGCGGGTGAGGAAAACGGTGACTTTTGATGGGCTTCCGGGCGACAGTCGAGGTTTGCAACTGTCCCCAGGCCATTAAATTGGAGCTGCGAAGGTGCAGATTCCTGATGGATAGCAGACGAATGATGTTAGCGAATGGAGATCAGAGACTCCGCCACCGGGAGAGGCCGTCACTCACAAGCCCCAACGCGACGCGTTGCAGCTTCGCGATGTCGATGCTATCCTCCTGCGTCTCCATAATCCCTCTTACACTGCGATGTCTGTTACACAGCACAAGTGATGGCTCATTGCCGAGGTGTCTGGCGCCCCAAACCCACGAACACTTTCACCACTCGGCTTCCTCGACTGTTCTCGTGCTCTTTCCAATTGGACGGAATACCGTAAAATGCAAAACGCGAAACGCGTCACTCACGTGATATCTCAATATTACCACTCTGGGTTTAGCCTGTCCGAATCGACAAGCCAAAGACGATTTACAATCCATCTATAGAACGAGAGGATGAGCAGTACTATATAAGGAGCGCAGGAGTAGGTCAATGTTGCATTCTTCACACCAGAAAAACGGGATCAACAATGCTAGCCATAATGGTTTGTGAGAGGAGCAGGGTTACATATGGTTACAATGAGTAAAGTGCTTTACGTCTTGCCAAAAGAAAACCCAAACGCTCGAACAGCACGATGCATATAGTACACAGAAACTAGATGATGCACTCATTCTAGTCCCGAGTCCGATTGGGGACCCATCTTCGAATAACCATTTCCCGGACTTGATAACGAGCCAACATCGAGCCAATATCCTCTTCCGAGGGAGTATCAAGCTCGTAAGACGTTGGTGGAGGGACTTCCACATAGCATACCACCAAACTCTTCTTCACCTGGGCCTGGACCCGATTGACACAATGCAACCACCACCAACTGCGCGCTGTCTTCTCCTCACACTGAGCCTTGCGCTCGGCCGTTTCAGACCAGTAGCCATGGCCATAGGATGGGACGACCACGACAGCAAACTCAGCATGTGAGAAGACCGGACCACGGTTGTAGAGGATGTAGTCCACACCGAACTTCACTCCGGAGCGCACAACCCAACCCAAAGAACGGAAATGGTGGTACACAACATATGATATCATGAATGGGTCGTCCGGCGTGAGATCCACTGACGGGGCTCTAGGAGGGAAGTAGGAGTGTCGACATAATAACGGCAGCAGAGAAGATGTAGGAATTTCGGAATTGCGAGTATCATCGCGAACACGCAAGACACCCAGCCCATATGCAAGAAAGAAGGCCTCTTCGTTAGATAATTGAAGGTGCTCTTCATTATTCAATTCCGGCTCCTCATCCGTCTTACCTCCGTCCGCCTTTCCATCCGCAGATATTTCTGGCAAGCTCAAGATAGCCGAATCAGAAGCAAACTCCTTGGCTTGAACAACCGGAGAAAACCGCACAGTTTTGCTGCCACTAGGTGACCGCTTTCCGGCGGAGTTGGGGGTGCGTGCAATGCCGTCTTGTGATACTGAACGTTGTGACTCAAGGAGCTTGGCTTCCCTGGCTTCCCGTGCTTTCCTTAGGGAGAACTTCTCCGTAGTTGATACTGCGCCTTCAGAGCCACTGTTCGGAGTGGGTGAGAGGGATGACTGCTCGTTTGACGTCGCGGTGCCGTCCCTGGCAGCCGCTTCGGCCTTGAGTCTCTCCTCAATGACAAGCTTTTCCATCCTCGCGCGCTCCAGTTTCAACTCGCGACGTTCTGTCCGCCGCTGTCGTGTAACCTCTTCGCTAGTCATCCCCCCAAGTAGACCTCGTCTCTTCTTCTCACGCTCAAGCCAGCTCGGCTCACTTCGACTCAGGGTTCCCTTACCAAAGAAACCCATCTCCCATAGCGCCTTTATAGCCTTAGGGTCTGTGACATGGACCGAGGATGTGGCAGAGTCAAAGTAGGCAGAGTAGACTTCCTGGTGAGGGGGAGAAATAAAGTATGTCAGGTAGGAAAGCAGTACACTGACGAGCGAGAGAGGGTTATGGGGGATGAGAGGAGGAAGAGGATGCACCTCAACCGGGAAGGGGAAGCGATGGATGTGTCGGTAGTTGGGCCTTGGAGGCCGCGAACGACGAGCTGGGGAGGCAGCATTGTTTTTTTGAGAAGAGTCGGACTTGCCAGGAGCAGCAGTCTCCGAAGCAGGACTAGGAATTGTATTGGAAGCCATATTTAACAGTAATTCTTATAAGCTCAATTGGATAGATATTCGATTCTAACTACAGGGAAGAGTCAGCAAGAAACTCTTCAGTTACAAGCTGGAATGTAGCCGCCATCGCCAACCCCGACAGAAGTAATCAGAATCATTGTTGTGTTTCTCCTCAGATACCGTTGTAGTCAATACAAAGCCTTCACTGACAACAGCGAGAAATCAAGGTTGCCATTGCCTAAGCTTAGGTATGTCATCATCACCGGAGAAAACAATGAAAGCAAAAATCCTTCCAGCAAGACCGACAAGGCTGCTGGCTGAAGCTTACCCGAAATCCTGTGCAAGATCTGGGGTTGGTCAAGCCATTACACGAGAGGCAGCTTTGTCCCTCGTGATGCGATGTAGTGTATCTTAGAAATACAAAATATCAATTAGCGAAAGGATCCCAGAGTCATTATGCAAGACGGGAATGGATGCGCATTATCATCATCAACATCCTCAATATTCCCTCATCCTGCCTGAAGTGCGATGGGATGGTTTGCGGAAGGAAGAAAAAGTTGTTTGGAGCTCGCTTGGGCAGCCTTAAATGGGACCGCGCGTGACTAAGCTGGCCCTTGGCCCGTGCCCCGTTCGCTCCGCCAAAAATTTCCTGCGTATCGCCGAAGTTCAAGTCCAGCGGTTTGGCATCGATAAACGCACTCGTTCACCACCCAGCACCTCTCTTTCGTGTTTCAATCGACTAACAGGTCTAATCGTTCAAGTAAGTCTGTCTGCAGTCTACTTCAATGCTACTCGCTCGTACTGACTAACGTTCTCTAGGATGCATCTTATGTGTATGTTTCTCCGCAGTCGGACTCCCCTCGATCGATCAAATCTAACGAATGCACAAAGACTCTCTGGGCCCTGATGGCAAGCGGGTTTACACCCTGAAGAAGGTCACCGAGGATGGTCGCGTTACGAAGAGTGCTCACCCCGCCCGTTTCTCTCCCGATGACAAGTACTCCCGGTAGGTTCCTTTTCGCCAACGGTATTCAGACACATCGGAGAGAGACTCAGGACTAATGACATCGGCTACCTAGTCACCGTGTGACCCTCAAGAAGAGATACGGTCTCCTTCTGACCCAGCAAGTCGGTATGAAACCCCGAGTACGATTTCCAATATGGTGGACATGGCTGACGACAGACTACAGACAAGGAGGCTGCTAAGCTGTAAACGGGTTGACGGAAAAACATGATTGAGATACAAAAGGTGCTTTGAATCATTTATGGCGAATGGTGTTATCTATGGTCTTTGGACGATGAGAAACTTTTGTTCGGTTTCTGTGCGGTGCCCATGGCCGGTATCTTAGTGTGCAAAATATACCATCCAAGAATTTGCTCTATATTCGTTACCTAGCATATGCTATGTGTATGCTCTATAAATCGTTGATCACGAGCCGTTCATCATAATCCATCACAGAAATAGACCAAAGGTGCAGCCATAAACTTTTAAGCCAGACGCCAACCCAGACTGATGCAAAGAGACGAGAAGCTATGCCATTACCGCTTCCTTGAGTTGACATTCCTGCCAGCTCCCACACGGACCCGACCGTTCCTGTTCCGCTCTCCAGTCAGGATGCTTGGGAGGTAGTCCTCGTCCATGAGGTCGTGCTCCTTGCGCATTCTACGGCTCTGCTCTGCGGTGGCTCGAACATACTCTTTCTGGTCTTCCGCCAGAATCAATTCGGTACCCCAGCCACCCTTACCACCACCTCCCTTCCACTTTCCGTTAGAAGTGCCGTGGACGGGCTTGGGGACACTGAAACGGTTGCCGCGGTTGTTCCACTGCATGTTCTTTTTCAGGTGCATCTTGAACTGTCCATTCGCATCAGTCGTGCAGGAGACGCGGGTAAGCGTGTCTTTGCCGCAGCGGGGACAAAACTGCTTGTTCATGTCTTTGGTGGTGAAAAAACAGGCATGGCACCGCTTGATGAAAGACTTCAGATGGCGAATTCGCTGCAGGGTGGAAGTGGAGAGCAAGTTCAAGTTCATCTGTAGCAGCACGTTTTGACACTGTATCCTAGTTAGTATGGAATATAGTCATCGGAGTGAGAGTTGAAAGCATACCGCAAAATCGGTAGTCATGGTGGCAACCTGCATCACCTTGGGTTCCGGCGCCGCAGCCGCAGAACTAGCCTCATCGCGGGCCTGCCGCTTCTTCAAGTTGGAGGGCGTGATCCAGCCACCATCCGAATCATCGCCATCATCTTCCTCCTCTTGGGCGTCGTCGGCGTCCTGATGAGTCGGTTCCTCCGTCTGGGCCTCTACAGGGGCATCTTGCACCGCGGTCTCCTGTGTGCTGGTCTCCTCTCCCAAGCTTGCGTTCTTCAGATCTTCCGTAACGGCATCCACCTCAGCACCCTCGTCTTTGTTCTCTTCCTTTTGGGTGGTCTCGCCCTCAGTCTCATCCTTAGCCTCCTCTCCCTTCTCTTCGGCCTTCTCCTCCTTCACGGGTGGCTTTCCGTTCACCTGTTTCTGCCCCGGAACACTTCTCAGTCTCCAATCACCACCGTTCCGCTCGCATTCAATCTCGTATGCAAGCGCCAGAACCTCAATATCCGTTTTACTCAGGACAGCCCGATCACCAGTCTTGCGTGCAAATTCGCTCAGAACACTGACGCTTTTCGGGGATGGTGTGCGCTGCTTCAAGAAGGGGAGGTAGAGTGTCTCCACACGCTGGCGGGCGTCAGGGTCACGGATTTCGCTGACGACGGAGGGGGTGATGAGGAGTTCTTCGCATTGTGCGAGCAGCGTGGATAGCGGCGGGGTATTCTTCAAGATGGGACCGGCGTCAAGAACGATGGTGTGGACGGGCTTCGCAGGCGATGCAGAGTCCGTCATTTTGGCGGTGGATGATGTTAGTATCTCTGCGACCGTATAATGAACTTTGTGAATGAAAACCCAATGTAGGAGTAAAGTGTATTGGTTGACTCTTGGGCCGCAATGGTTGGATGGAAATTCCTCGGATGGGATTTTCAGTTGGTCTGTGCATCGTTCCTTATCTTAGCGCCCGCTTATCGAGATCCTTCCGACTTTCTCACCATCACTCGCGCGACAACTGGTCAGTGCCATAGTAAACAAGCCGGAATTCCTCTGTCTGATCCATCGTCCCGGAAGATTCAGAATATTCTGACAGATTCCCTCGAAAAGCCACTATCGTGGTCTGTCTGTCATCTGGACATCCACAGACAAAGTCTATGTATTTCAAATCACATGGCAATGACAGGTCATTCTAATGCAGAAGGCCCCGTCCCTGATCCATCAGAGTCATCCAAAGTACGAGTACTCAAGGTGGTCAACACACCATAGCCTTTCCAAACCACGCATTCCTCGGAAATTGAAAAAAAAAAAAAAAAAAAAAAAAATAGCAATCGAGGGGATTAGAAGCATCACGAGAATCTCATTAATTTCGCATGGTACCATCAGGATGCCGAGCTCTCCGCGCGAAAAATGAAAGGAGTGCGTGTTCAGTCCTTAGCAAAATGAATGATGGCGACTAGCATCAACCGAGCAGGGCCACGGTGAGTCCACTTGCCAAAAGTACTTGCATACAATTGACTCATTCTTCGTCTCGACCTGCACACAGTCAGTTTGCGGATTCTGAATGGAGGTGCCTGTACGGAGTACTCCGTCTGACTGCAGAAGTGCGAACAGTACCCTGGACATGCGTCTAGCTATCTTCACACTAATGCAGGTATCCATGGAATCAACAGACTGATAGGCCGTTCGTCCGGTGGATTTTTGCTGACAGGTATTCCGTACCGCGGATGTTTTCAATCCGACTCAGAAGCTACTGTATGTGACGGGGATCTATGGATATCGTGCATGGCTCACAGATATCAAAGCATTGGCACTTCAAAATTTTGGGTTATTTTGTCGTGTTTGATTGGCTTTGCCATAACGGTGGCGCGCAAATGCCAGCTGACACTTCAACTAGAAGAATCTTTCAGTCACCATCGCCGAGCAACACGAATTTTGAGTAGACACGCAAGCAAGAACGACAAGAAATAGAGAGGGTAATGTGTGTGTGTCCACGTGTGGACTTTGATCATCTTATGGTCCATGCTATACGCTCTATTCGATGCATGGCAGAATTCCTAATAATGGTTATATATAGAAAATCGCTGCGCTCGACCTGTCCAGACGCTGGCTCTCTGGGTAGAAGGCAACCCGGCTGCCTCGTCTCCATACAGTCAAACTCAGGCGATGAAATCTCCATATTTACCACCAGTTCATGAACACTATCAAACCACTCAATGGATTAAGAAAAGGTCTTCGGTAGTAATCTTGGTGATTCTTTGACCGGGTCGCTACGGGTATGATTCCCGAGATATATAATTGGGAGTAGATGAGTCCCACGATTGTGTTACCCAACTCCTGATGGCTGGTAGGAGATCTTGACGCACACTCCACTTCGGCCAATCCAGAATGCAGGCGTACTGATCGACCAATGGATATGGCTCTGCGTGGAACTATCAGTGCGGTGGCGACGAGTGAGGGTTACCAGAGCCGAACGCGCAGCACCAAATGCTGCTTTCCTCCAAAAAAAAAAAAAATGCACGCTATGGCCAAGCGACAATGGACCGATAATCATCCAATTCTAAAGATCAATAGACAATAATTAAATGAGCGGACTCGAGTTTCGTCTGCGGTTGGCTGTTTTTGGCCAACCCGGAGGAAGGTCCCGGCGCGCCTAGTCGGATGTGATACATCGCCTTTCTTTTCCACGCCGGGCGTTTCAGTCAAATAACCGCACCAACGCCAGCACCCTACTGATCAATCAGCATTGTTTGACAAAATTGATGGCCTATCCGTCGAGTCTCCTCACGGGCTGTAGATAGAGACGCGAATTTCCGCCTGTACGGTACTTTGCCCCCCTGCATGTCCGTTATTTAATGTGGCTCTGTTTAAGGCCCCGGAAATCATGCCATGAAATTCCCAAAGAAGGAAATGACAGGTCGCATCGGCCAGCTGGCGCACCCAGAAGTACTTTTGATAACGGATAATGCCTCCCCCCTCACAAGGTCAAGTGCTTATCCAGGAATGAATCAATCATTTTGAGATTCATGGAAGTATCGATAGGGGAGAAAGTATGACAGCCCTCTGCATCCCTTACTCTGCTCATCCCTGCCCCTGTGTAGGACCTGTGGCAGGACTGATTTTGATTGATCCCTTCCCTGTAAAACATTACCCAGAAAAGCCTCTTAGAGGGAAAACAGAGAGTCACCCGATGTCATTTAGGGGCACAGGCCATTTGCAGGCACTGTGGAAAGGACAGACTCGGAGATAAATGATTCTTGCAGCTTACCTGGCCTCTGCGCTGTGGCATGGCTTAATGACAGCTCCGGCCCCAGTCCCAGGGCAAGGAGTCGTGGGCTCCACGATCTGCTGGCTGGGCAGACTGTCATCCAGCCCGTCAAGATTCGTCAGGTTCGAGACAGACAGACAGCTCTACGCACAATGTACTTCGTACGCACGCCTGTCGTATGCAAGTGCCTCCGCAGACGCATAGAACAATCCATGTATGCATCCAACCAGAGGAGAGTTTTGGATACACCGTCGATCCACCGTCTCTCCACTTTTGTCTTTGACAGACCAAACTGGGCGGTATTTTTTTCAGTGACCGCGGATGCAGTCAATGGCTGATCATCATCGACAGTATCCATAACCCTAGCGACACCACAGGGCTGGAACATGTCGCTTAGGCCTCTGCTATGCATAGAGACCTCTCCAGTCACTCTCCGCAAAACCTACGCACAATGGCTGCAAGAAAAACCAGAAAAAGAAATTGCGCGAGGCACCAAATGTACCTTTTTGTTGCCTTTACCCATCTATCAACCTGAGTTTGTGCCAGGACCACATTGTGGCTGCTCTCTATCATTTGCTTATTTGTCTCCTCCCTTGCTTGCTTTTCCTGCCCTCCCTTTCTGCACCACACACCCATTGGACCCAGCTCCTGTCCTAGGGTCGGTCCGTGAATCCGGAGCAGCAATTAGACATGACTGAGGATCTTCACGGGCTCGGTACCATTGGTCTATTCGCATCCTTCTAGTCAGACAGAGCCGTTACTGGGTCTTACCAATCGCAAAACGTTTATATCCCCATCTTTTCCCCCTTCCCCTGCGAGTGTCCCCCTCACAGTGACACGCGGAACAGTGCTCCTTTCGCTCATTGAGGGGTCAGTCGGACCCCAGGTTTTATATGAGTAACGTTGCTGGTCTCTGTACACAGAGGCCCGTGTACTCGTGAACCCTCGGCCACATTGTACCCTTGTTCAGCTCGACTTGTCTCTGAAACACCGAGAAACCAAACCTCGTCTAAGTGCTCCCACGGAACGATTATTTTGAATGCGACCA